ACTCTGATGTCGTAACTTAGTTAAACCAATCAAATGATAAATGCAAATTGACTATGACAAACTCTTACACATGATTGGTGATGTGTCTAACTGCGTGATCTATTTACTAATGTTACCTTTCTAATCTGTAAACGGCTTGAGAAGGAATTACTGAAAAACAATTTTTTCGCCAAACTGTGTTTGTACAATATTCGTTCATAAGACGCTTAAAGCAACAGACGACATGTGCAAGAAATTTCACTGAATCATTTGTCACGTATAAAATTACTGGTTGTTTTTCAAAAAAAAATGCCCGCAATTAAACACAGTACTCACATGATGCATACGTTCATACATGCATTTAGCATGGAAAATAATTCAATTTATTTTCGCATAGAAATATGTTGATCAAAGCTGAGGACCACTGTGACGTTTGTGGTGATTGCACAAAAGACTGTGTAGGAGTTACACAATCTACTCTCTTTGGTCCTAATAATCGTGTTCAATGTCCAATATTTTGAAACGTGAAGTTTTCACTAACGAGAATATCATTGTGCAGAATGCGATCAAGTTACCTAGCTCTTTATTTACGAGATTCTACGGTTTCCTAGGCTTAATCAGCATTTTCTGTCCCCGTATTCTGAGTGTTAAGAAAGTGGGAAAGAAAACGGTTTGGTTAACAGGTGACCACCACACAGCTGCCTGCCAGGATGAGAATGTTAGACATATAAAAAACACGGCCACAATCAGAGGGATCACTCTATCATTGACCTATAGGCAGTTGAACTTCTACACTGTTCTGTAAATCATTTGTAGCGAGAATATATCAGATGTGATTTATTATACTGAATGCTTGACTATATTTTATGCACACTCGAACCCTCGATTAATCTCTCTTTCAGGTCGATTGAAAGTAAATATGGGCAATATTTATTTCGCCCAAAAGAACTATGTGAAAGCAATCAAATTCTATCGAATGGGATTGGACCAGGTTCCAAACACCCACAAATGCATGAGGTATTACTAATTGGATTTTACTTAGCTGACACTTGATGCGTTGTTCTCGGTTAGGATTAAAATCATGCAAAACATCGGGATCACATTTGTGAAGTTGGGTCAGTACGCGGACGCGATCACCTCGTTTGAACACATCATGCAAGAAGATCCGGATGCGAAGACCGGATTCAATCTGATTCTGTGCTACTTCACCACCGGAGATCGAAGCAAAATGAAATACGGGTTTCAACAATTACTCCGAGTTGATTTGCATTTGGATGATGAGGACCGATATTTGCCACATAATGTAAGCAACTTGTCTTTCTTGCCGTTGATACATTGAAATTGCTCTTCCCGGTTGTTAGATCACGTCACCTGTCTGTGGATTGAATGAAATAGAACCGCGTGATTTGTATCATTTCGACGGGTCAGCAATGATTTGCAATGATCGGATTTTGCGTTAGAAAAATATGGCCTTTTTTGGTTTGTTGATCCGAGCGCAAAGCGTTGTTATTCACTTCGGTCCTTTTCACACAAAAAGTAGATATAAACGAAAGAATATTATGAAATAAGTTTGTCTTCTATACTTTATTCCTCAATGCCATGCAATTATATAGAGAGTTGAAAATTTGAAATTGGTTTAATGTGATTGATCAATCTTATTGTGTAATGGGAAGACGCTGATTTTTTCCAAATCACATAAAATCAAGCAATCATGCTGATCAGAGCTATACTAACTTAAAGTTTTTTTGTTATCTATATAACCCTGTTAGTCGGAGAAAGAAATTGTAGAGAAGCATTTTTTTCGTCATTGTGTGTGAATATATATATATATATATTCAGCAGATATAGAAGAACAAGCAACAGATTTAATTCCAGAGTATAAAATATCTACATTTTGAACAGATTTATATGCGTGTGGCAGACATTTCAAAGCTTGTAGCTGAACAAATCTAAGGTCCAATGCTTGTTCCCCGGAGTTCATTAAAAATGAAACAGAGATATATTAAGGCCTCGAGGTGAACAAGTAGTTTGTCACAATTTTTGGGAGCTATTTCATCACAGCTGTTTTATCCTTGAGTTACAAGAAGAACAAATACCCACAATTGAATTGATCACATTCCCGTACAACCTCCCCTCCCTCATCCGCCCGCCCTTCTTCAATTAAAGGACGATAAGCAGTACGATTTGATCCTGGAAGTGATCAGAAACGACGAGCTACGTTTGTATGAGAAGAAACGGTAAGCGATGAGTGGCATGCTTTCAGTTTTTGTTCTATAGGAAAACACAAGCTGAAACATTTATCAAAATGGCAGCTAAGCTCATTGCTCCCGCGATTGAATCCAATTTTCACGCTGGTTACGACTGGTGCATTGAACAAGTGAAAATGTCCAACTTTCATGAACTAGCCCACGATTTGGAGATTGATAAAGCCGTGATGTATTTGAAACAGCGTGATTTTCATCAGGTCAGTTGAGGGAACTTTTGCAAGGTATAAGTTTTCAGCTATTCCCTTTATTTTTACACTTGGAAACCAAAAGCCTGTTTTGTTTTCGTGCCTCCAGTGTTAGTGCCACTTAAATGTACTCTGTATTCAAAAGGATCGTACTCATCCAAAGACTTTGGGTATATTATTGCCTACTGAAGTGATATTCAATAGGCGAATACTTTGCATTGAAATCAAATTCAAATTCAGATCGCTGAAGCTTTTCATTTGAGATAATCCCAGATCCGTTCGACGAGGTCTTTCAATAATTAATCCTAGAGAGTCTCTTGATAAGTTTACATATTTCACCCTATTTCATTGTGTCATTTATAATTGCGCAAAGTTGCTTGCTCATACGTGCTGTCGGTGAGGAGCATTCGACGGTTGGGTACTGTTGTGCCTCGCCAAACTAAAACCGAACCTGGTCTCACGATGCCTATCCCAACGATCCCAGTTAAAGGGCAGTTGCTAACAATAGAAGCCTTTATTGGTAGTACAAACCAAAGTGTGGATCCAGTAGGTAAGAAATGTGTGCTGTTTATGGGTTTGATCAGTGTTTAGAACATTTTCCTGAATGAGGGCTACGTGGAATGCGATAAAGGAGATGCGTAAGTCAGGTCACCTTACTCTGTCCGTTACTGTGACGCCCAGACATCCAGTACCTTTGAGAAAATGTCGACACGATCTCATGGCGGTGGCTGATCCCAATACATTTCAAATGCACTCTGCTAGAACTCACAGGGGAAGATTAGGTCTCCCCTGGCAGGTACAGTTTACGTAGGAAAACTGATGATTCAAATTTCCCAGATGGATCAAACTTGTTTGATGACAAAACGGGATACCGCTCGGGTCTTTTTCTAACCCAGGACACTGACTACTGATTTGAATTGACTTGGGGACTTGAACCACGCGCCATAGAAATTGGTAGTCACTAGCCTATTTGGTCGAGGACCAAGATGTTCGGATTCGATTTCCAGACCGGGTGTGATGACAATGCAGAAAAGGACTCATAATAAGGGGGATGGAGGACCATGGAGACAAAATGAATGCGAAAGTTCTTTATGTGAACACATGAGATGAAGGAATTGGGAATGAGAATTCCAAATGCTCCCAAGGTGGCAAAGTCGTGGCAAACAACTAGCTTAGATTGTTTTTTGTGAAACTGGTAGAGGAAATTAAGGTTCTGACGAAATTCACTATGTGACCTAACAGAACAAAGTGTGAACAGAATACGCTTGTGATTCGCTTTGGCACTTTAGTGCCGAGCCANGAGCCATACTAATGCTGAATCGATAAACTGCAAATTGTACTCCAAAACGACTAATATTTCAATTCACATTTAAACCAAACTAATTCTTTTGGCTTGAAATAATTTTTACTGCGCACTCTTCGCAAACAGTATTCTCGGTATCATACCTCGTTTGGACTCAGCTTACAACAAGCTTTGTGATCCAGCACAGAAGTCTAAGAGCATTGAACTGTCAGTAGACGGATTTGGTAGTAAAGTAGAAGGCTTCAATCCAGAGGATTACTCAGAAATTTTCCTGCATCACTTAGGTCCTCCGTTGTCACTGCCATGTTATACAGAGTAACGCACCGATGGTACAAAAAAGATTTGAGCTTGTTTATCGCATCAATCATTTCAAACGCGCAAAGAGTAAAATAAAACGAATATTCGTAATTAACTCACAATTGCTTGTAACTAGTGGTGTGGGATAACTAACGATCATTCAGACTGACTATCCTTCAAATATCTTCTTGACTCACAATCCTCAGTTCATACAGTTAGCCGTGCATTCAGAAACACTAAACTCGAGTTTCGCTCGCACCAGAGCTCGTAAGCAGGGCATAACCACCATCACATGAAAAGAGGGAGTGGGGGAAGGGGTAAGTTTGGTACCTAGTGAACTATTTGACTATCCCTGATGACAAAATCTGAACAAACTTGAATTAGTAAATTTAGA